ACACACACACACACAGTACTGCACTCACCCATCTAATTCCGCTGTTTCTACATAGACCAGATTCAGAGGCTCACTGCTGGACAGCAACAGAAGGTCCGCCTAAAAAAGCATTAAATGCAATAAGATGAGAAAATATTTACAATCACTTGTGAGGACTTTTTCTTGGCCTCTGTTGTTATTGCTATAAACTTAAAGCATCAGTGTGTATAGAACAGCAACATGCTCTAAAATGCCGTAACGCACACACAGTTAACATTCCCTGGCAATTAGAAAAATAAATCAGGTTTTAATGGTAGCATCTCCATACTCACTGTGACAAACTGATTGCTCTCCAGTTTGATTATGTCTCCAACCTGAACGTTCTTCCATTTTTCCTTTCTCAGTCTGCCAAAAAATACATACACAAAACATGCCATGAAATCACAACACTGCACCAAAATTCATGCAAAACACGACCTTTTAAAGCTCACATCTGCATTACAGCTGTACATTCGTATTAACAAATACATAATGTGAGATTGAAATGACTTACTCCCCATCGATGAGCACGTTCACGATGCGGTTATTCACTTGATTGTCGCTTTTGTGTCTGTTCTACTCAGATGATACAGGATGAGGAGAAAACAGTGTTGCTTTAGTCGTGACATTGTGACTGTTTTCTGTCCTAATATTGAGTTATTTAGTTATTTATTCCCAAGGTTACAATTCCTGCTTACTATGTCATCGCTGGCGTCCTTGACTGCTGTCATGGACAGCACCAAAATGAGAGGGACAGCCGTGGTGAACCAAGAGAGAGAGGAGACTTGTGGGATTAACTGTCAACAGAACACACACACATTTAAAATGCTTTAATACTTTACATCGGTAGCATTAAATGATGCGCTGTTTACCCTGGAATCCGATATTCTGGAAGCTAAATTACGGAATATTTTGCGGATTAACATTTGCAATATTTCTCAGTATATGCATGAGCCCCATTTGCTAAATTAGTGGAAAGTCCAATCCATACAGTCCACGTTAACATCCATCACAGTGCTAGAGGAGGTAAACAAGGACAAATGTCTACCTGAAGGAGCATGAGGAACAAGAAGTAGGCATTGGCGAGCCTCCGGAACTGCTCGAAGAGGTTACAGGGCAGGAACGTGAAAATGTTGTATTTGGAGGTCTTGATGGCATTGTTCTGAAGCAGAGGAAATCCACACGTGTGACAAATACAGCTGACAGCCACAGTGGTGTTTACTCCCCACCTCATCTGTTGAACACACACCCTTTTTGTTTCTCTACTTACAGCATAGTGGTAAGACAGGTTGAAAGGTCTGTCGTTCGCTCGCAAGTGTCTCTCCTCCTCTGTGACAAAATGAAAGATTGAAAGCAAGAGAGGGATGAGGATGTTGCAGCAGCATTGGGAGAAAAGGGTCTGTCCCTATAATCACCAAGAACACGTAGCATGTGAAAAGTTTGAGTGCTTTTAGTCCACTCACTCAGAACAAGATAAACTAATATTTGCAGTGCAGTTTGTAAGCGTCAGGGCTCACCTTTCTTCTTCTCCCCTCCACACAACTGGCCAAAGTATGACGCTACTGACCCCATCTTTAGCTCTGCTTCTCCATATTTCACACCTAGAGAAAGAGCATGTATGTACTTATCACAGAGTGACGTACAGTCAGTGAAGCACAGAGCCATTTGTTTATAGCTAGATTCCACCGAGATAGCAACTGAAAGGGGAAACTGTGGCAGAAGTACGGGGGAACCAGTTTATTTATGGTCACGTATGCGACAATTGTGGTTCAGTGTAAATATCTATATACTGGAAGGTATTAGCAGAGGGACTGAGTGATATTTGCAATATACAGGAAACATCTGCTTGCTTCTGCTGACCATCATTTGACTTCTAGCTTTCACAGCCAACTGCAAGCTAAAGCACACCAGAACATCACAGCATACATACAGATATAATGTGATTCCTGAGGCTGCAGTCAAAATGCGGAACTGTGTCAGGAAAATGGCGCGTTAGCTACAGTGCTCGAAAATTAGGATGTTCCATTGTCCCGGGGACAATGACAATAGCACCTGAGACACCTGAGAAATGTATCATTACAAATCAGATTGTTGCATATATTATACACACACACACACACACACACACAAACAAAAGAACTCATTCAGAGAGATCAGTGCTAGATTTATCGACTTTTCTCTTTATTTCAGCTTTATCTCTATAAAGCGACAAATGTAGCGACCCGTTGAGACAATCAGGAAAAAGGTATTCAATTCATTCCCATCCTCCCATCCACGCTGCTCTGAGTAATTGCAGTCAACTGCTCTCTGGCAACATTTTGACTTTTTTAGATCAGGTCTTCACTTAAATTATCATTGTTAACAAACAGACTGCAATACAGACCCTGGTTTGCACCGCAGCAAAAAATAGAGCTTTAACGTATATGTCTTTGCATTTCTCTAAGCGTTTGAAGGTACAAGGTGACATTTAAGAGAGAAACCATGTCAGACATGCTTGAGTCTCTCTTCAGGCAACATCCTCGAGACTTTATCTGTGCTGCAGAGCTGTAAAGACACTGAGCCACTCCTTGCTCAACCCTTTGTACCAAAAAAAGATCTGTGACAGACAATCCATAACCACAAAGATTGAGATAACGATATGACCATGAACATTTGACTTGCTCAGAATCAAGCAAGAATTCAAAGACCTTGAATACACAACAGAAGAATCAAGAAACAGTGTTTTTCCTGCATATTGGAACAGCAGATCATTTCCAAAACGAAACAGGAAGAATTGATTTGGCATGTTTAACTCTGTTATCGTTCCACTCGTACTCACACAGCTATGAAATTGAAGTTATATATTGAACCACTAGGCTTGGACTTTGATTAGTCATGTATTTCATATGTTTCCCAGTTCCTGGATGCAAATGAAAATCAGCCACATACCTCAAACAAAAATGTGATTTCTTGTGTCCTTTAAGTCCTGCCCACACATCGACACAGGAACACAGGGCCAAAAGAAAAGTTACAATCCTCCCTCTGCTTCCGCCTCAGATAAAGTAAATCCAGGCCCTCGTCTGTGCTCCGTTGGGACGTCCAGGCTCCGACCTAGTCCCACACAGAGAAAGGGGGTTCGACTGGGGCCTCCAGTCGGATGAAAGACACGCAGGATGGACGACAGGTGAAGTGGTGTAGTGGTGAGAGAGGCGCCTACAGTAGAGGTTTCAGGTTCATGCAGGAAGAGCTGGGATCCCCCTGAGCTGTTAGGCACAGGGCTTGAGCAAACAGTGCAGTGATCTTTGGACCTGGATGGTGAGCCGGGGTAGGAGTGGAGGGGCAGTAAAACAACAGTACAGGTGAATGTCTCTGGCCAATCAGGGCCAGCATTATGGTTGGGATCTGGGCGGTCAGGTATGTAACACACCTTGTGATGTGTGCGCATGCTCAGACTGAGGACTGAGCTTTGCCATATTTAACCTATTCACATTCAGCCTCTTTCATAGGTGCAAGAAAGCCAGGCATCTGTTGCATTCTTGAAGGATAAAGGAATGACTTAATAATAGTGAGTTATGACAGCTCTGACTGATATACACATCCACTAGCTTTCAGAAATGGAATTTAATACCTGGGCTCCAACACAAAGGAACGCTGTGTAGTCCGGGGGACCTCAACATGAACCGCTTGCTAAATTAGTTATTGTGTGTATGTGTGTGTGTGTGTGCGTGTGATAGGTGTGTGTGCACGCAAGCACAGACATAAACCTTTACCTGCAAGTGTGCACAGATGTGCAAGCACAGAAATACACATAAAGTGGTAAAATAGACATGATGATTGGAAGATGCAACACTGACCTCAACAGGAAACACTAAAGCACGCCATGTGGTCCAATTTTAAGTGATAAAAAAAGGAATTCCTGGGATGTAAAGAAAGAACAAATTGCAATTCATAAAAAAATTCCTCTGCCTGTTGAACAAGAGTTACCAATAGGAATATTCTCACTGGCTTTTCTGATTTGATTTAGGGATTCTTGTGCAATAATAAGAGTTTGGTGTGATTTAATTAAATACATCTAAGAGTGTGTCTCTGTGTCTACAGTGAGTCATTGCACCCCAATAAAGAGGAATCTGTCCCATTTCTACAAAGTTGAATCTAAAAATATTATCTATGAACTCAAGACTGAAGTCTTAACCAAAAATAAAAATAATATACAATATTGTTTTACTCGCTTTATTTTGCCTGTGCACGTAAATACTTTCACACCGCGAAACGTATGACAAAAAATTAAATATGATACTTACAGCTGCCTGCAGCAAAAAGATACAAACTGCAGGAAAAATGTTAACAATTTTAAATGTCAGTTCACCCAAATTACAGGCGAAAAATTTATCATTTTTCTATTATTTTCTATTATATTGCGCTAAGGTGGTACCTGGTTAGTTTGGTTTATAAAGTGACAGAAAACTGCAACCGCCCCCTGGTCAGATGCAACAATAAGCTTGGGCACCGTTCGTACCTGAAAATTTCGTTTGCTGTGTCAAGCCGACATGGGTGTGAAATTTTGATCAAAAAACAAACAAACAAAAAAACACTACACTGTAATCATAATATTAAAAAAAAATCAGCTTAGACTTTGAATGAACTATTGATATATATTACACATACATATTATTTATGTTCGCTACAGTTGGTGAAGGGGACAATAAATCTCGAGTTGATTTAAGTAATAAGATTATGCCTTTGCAGTGCAATCTTACCGACTCTGTATTTATAATCTAAAAAAAACTGTGCACTTGCATTCAACTAGAGGAAATGAATTGGTGCAGTTCCAACTAAAGTGGAAAATAAATAGAAACATTTAAATTGATAAGAACATTTCAATCAAAATCTGCAGTCAATGTCGTATCATACAGTAAAAGAAGAGGAAAACGAATTTATAGATACTTCTCAAATACTTTATGCAAAATTCATTAATCGGAACGTTTACATGGTGACAACATTTCAGAGTAGTGACAATACAAAGAAAACACCACAAAAATGCAGTTACTGTGACTGATATAGTGTACTTGTTAACTATTGCAGTGACTTAATGATAGTGCAAGGGTTAACAAATTTAGAAAATGTAGAAATAAAAAAAAAAACAACTTGGCACAAGGAACATGTATATTACAGAATGGCTTTGAAACATTTGCCCTCATAAACCAATAACAAAAAAATTATTCACAAAAGGATAATGAACTGTAACAAAGAGGAATGTGAATTTGTGATTTCTACAGGGTGTGATCAGTTTAAAAATGTGCACACATTAAGGTTCTCACATTATAGCAATATCCGTCCTTCATTAAGAGTAACATTTTAATATTCTTCAGTTCAGTTATGAACAAATTCACTTGCACACGTCTTGCTGTATACGACTCCTGTCCATAAAACTAAAACATATCTTACAATACAGTGATTGATATTATTTCAAACTATTAAAGAGGATCAAGGATGAACATTTACAAAACACCAGAAGGGAACAGGACACAAAATATAACAGACTGCTAAGAAAACCCAGCCTAGATACATTTACAACGTTTGCAATATCATCAAAGATAAAAAGTACAAAATGATGAGGAACATCACTTGGATTTGACATCATTATGGGCAGAGAAGTGGCAAATACTCATTGCTGAGAGCCAAAGGAAACACAAGGATTAAAAAAAAAAAAGATTAAAAAGACATATTTTGTTTGTTTTTTCACCAAAGTAAGGCCACTCATAGGAAGAGTAGAAGAAAACAGCAGGCAGATGTATGTAAACCATGAGTAATTCTACACTCCTGATCAACTCACTAGCCGAGGAGCTCGTGTTCAAATGTTCATATATCCTTTTTTTTTTTTTTTTGGAAGAAAAAGTTGTTACCTGAAAGTTCCAACATGTAATATTTCTTCACTACAAAAGAACAATTCTAAAAGACAGTTATCACTATTTTAAGTCGAGGACATGAGTCGCCAGCTTATTTCATAAAAACACTAGGTTGTCGCTTTATTCTGAGGGTATGTATCTTGGTATGTAACTCTTCTGTTGAACTGCAGTTTACGTGTACAACACTGCAGCAGCAACCTCTGTGCAAATTCTTCAAACACACGTCTGTTTCTCGACAGTAAACAACATTTTACACAGACAAAACTAAATAAATATGTATAAAAAATAAATAAAATGGCTACACCAGGCCAACACAAGATAAGAGTTGTTAATGGAGCTGATACTAAATGAATATGGCCAGAATGAATGTTCACATGGTTGGTGTCGTTTTTCATGAGGTTTTGATTTTAATCATATTGTTCTTTTGTTCTTTATTATTTACTGATCTAATCACTGCTGTCATTCCTGGGGGAACAGGAATGGAAACGTAACATGGCAAGGCACACATTTAATTGAACAATCCTTTAAATTCAGGGGTCAAATGATGGGTCGTCATTAAGTACCTTCTTGTGACACAAAATTAGCTTAATTTCCTCATCTTCACTTCCGCTTTATTCAATAATCCATAAGACTTAAAAAACTGGAACTTTCTGTCTCTACCGTCATTCAATCATCAAACAAAAGACCCCTTTATAGATAAACCATACAGAATTTTCACATTTACTCTAAACCATCACAGTGGAGCTACCGAACAGGGCATTCAAAAGACTTTTTTTTTTTTTTTTACTTCACATTCACAGTTTGTAGAGTGTAAGGCATCAAACACACGGCCACGGTTTGAGGGGTTTAGGTGAGGTTATTGCACAACAACACTGGGGGAGGTGTGGGAACTTGTTTGGGCCCTCCAGCAGGGCCTGGCATCCTCTGTTCCCTTGAGGCTATGGCGTGCACACTGACGAGGACGGGTAAAAGAATAAATACAAAAAAAAGGTTTAATGACTGAGTACGTGGTCACTGGCAAGTGAAACAGCTGGTGAATGTGAAGGTTGAGTGAGCCGGTTTCTGTGGTTGTGTGCTGTACAGTAGCTCGGTTAAATGATGGGAGTGTTTGAGGAACACTAAAAGCGTGTGTTTTTCCAAAATACCCAGAGTGTGAACATGACAGTGTGTCGGTGAGCTTGGCAAGGCGCCACCAAACAGTCAACAGCAGCTAAGACACATCAAAGGTCTAACAGAGTCCATATGGCCGTCTACGGAAAATAATTCCCTGCTTTTTGACTTGAGATCATTCTCTTGTTAAATTAAGAAACCTTCCATCCTTTCTGTTTTTCTCCCTCCATCTCCAGCTCTCCTCATCTGCCCTCTTCGGCCGAACGAGTCTCTGATTTCAGCCTCACAAACTCCTTGGCCACATCGTCGTTGGAGCGCTGGGAGAGGATCCGCATGGCGGTGAGGCCTGTGTCGTCCATCTGGATGCGCTGGCCGAGCGGGCACCAGCAGGCGCAGCTGCCTTTCCCAGTGATCTCTCTTAATTGTATCACGGCCAAGCCGACCACTCTGTCGGCGCGGCCGAAGCAGTAGTCTTTGACACAGACCTGCAGCTCGTAGCACTCGAAGCCTTCCTGTTTACCCAGAACACTATGGGGAGGGAACACAGATTTGAGCATTTAGTCATTCAACAACACAACAGTTGGTTAGTAAACTTAATGTTGCACTAGACAAGAAGTTTTCTTTCTTTCATTTCTGTCGATGGACTAATCGATTAATAAACTAATTGTTGCAGCTCTATGAAATCTGATGTCACATTACATCATTCTAAGTGTCAAATTCTTTAAATATCTGCTTCTTAGAGCCAGTTGGGGTAACTAGTTACCAAGTTTTCTCATGTCGCTGTGACTGTGGAAACCATACTGTGCATGTGTACTGTAAACAAGATAGAAACCCTTACATAGATACTGATGAATGTTGAATAACAAAAACAATATAAAAGACATATCTACACATCTGTATAACTTAAAAAGCAGTGCTTACAATTGGAAGTTCTCGTTGAACTTGGGAGACCAGCTGTTATTCTTGGATTTGGTCTGGAATTTGCGTTTCTTGTCGCTGAGGTGAGGCCCGAACATGGTGATCTCCACAAAGGGTCGGAACATGCCGGACGTCTGCCACTTTAAGTCATTGGCTCCCACAACTAAATGTGTAAAAACACAGATACACAGAGGAAGAGGATGATGTAATCAGATGGGAACACATGACTATGTATTTTATGTATGTATTTAGCATCATGGTTTGAAAACTCAACCAGACCTTTGACGGACACTTTCCGCTCCCCATTGCCAGGATTAGTGTGCAGTTCGATCTGGACAGCCACCTCACCTATTGGCTTGTCCACGCCTGAACCTGGTTTAAGGTACATCCAGATACATAAATTAGCTAAAATGTCACAGATAAAGGCGGAGAAAAACATTCATTGACATTGCAGAGTCAGTATGAGAAGGTGGAGAGGTTGGGTTAGGGATAGCCCCACCCACCTTAGCAGCACAGAGTGACAGAACCAAAATGTACAAAGGGAGAGCGAGTGGGGAAGGAGAGGAGGGCTGGTAGATCAATGAAACCTACCCCTGCTGGGCTGTATTTTTTCATTGGGAGTTAACCGAATACCCTTTCCATTGTGCACTGGCACGCAGGCAGCACAGGAGATAAAGAGATAACAGCAATAACATGTCAGCATCAACAACAAATACACAAAATACAGATGCAAACCTTAGAGTATTCAGTGAAAAGCCTCCATCATCAAACACACACATAGTGCCCCCTCCTGGTCTAGATATGTTATCAAAGCAGTGGTCTGAACTACCTTGTGCATGTTGGGTGGTCACAAAGGTCTTGATGAGTGTGTCTGTTGTCTGGGTGTAGAGGGACAGAGCGTGGCGTAGTGAGGACAGCTCAGGACTCTTCTCCAGGAACGCCTTCTTCAGCCCGTTGCCTCCTGCATGGAAGTATTGCTATAAAAGGAAACAGATGGTGAGTCAGCACTTAAACATCTGGAAGAACAACTGGAGGTTTGTTGTATTTTGGTCAAATTATTAGGATATATTCAAATGTGATGGTTTTGGGGTGTTCAGTGTTATAAGAACATTATAGAGACCAGCAGCTAAACAAGTAAACAAGGTAAGTATTTTGCTCCTGGTAAATACATGTTGAGTCTTACAGTGAAGTCAACTTATTGCATTCTGAATACAATCAATAATTGTGGCAGCAAATAAGGTCCGAGCTTGAAACGGACAGAATTTTGAATTTTTTTTTTTTTTTTTTGGAAAAAGATAACTGCATTTCCATGATTTTCAACTAAAGAGTAAAAACTGAAGGTTAGGTTTAAACCAAATTAATCTTTCCAAAATTATCTGGCCACTAATCCTGCTTTGTAAAATTCACCCCTCATTTCATCCACTTTACCCTGACCTGTTAAATCACATAACTTATGCTCACAAGCTGCTTGCATAACCTTTCAGGGTCCCTGATTAATGGATGAATAGTTGATGAGGCTAATTTGACCCGTCTACCCCTGGCATCCTAATGAAACCAAAACCCGCAGTATAAACTGACCTTGATAGTGTCCAGTGCCACATCCATGACAGCGCACTGCCTGGGAGAGAGGCTTTTAGCCTCCCCTGCCATGTGATCCTGCACATGCAAACAGATTGGTTAATTCTACAAAAATAGATTTACTTCCTCTCAATGAGTCATTTTGTGGTCAGAGTTTGGTGAAACTGAGCCACAGCAACACATTGGTAACATGGTGTTAAACATATGAAGGCGTTAATATACCTTAAGTTTGGAGAGCTGACCCAGTTCTTTTGCAGCTGAGAGAATCTGTGCACCCTGGAAAAAAAAAGAACAAAGAAAAATATTAAATTTGAGTTGCTGCTCTTTTTGTCGTTTCATTTTTCCACTTTAAAAAGTCACACACAAACATTAGACTGATGATGGTGCATGTTGTTGAGCTTACAAAGGTATCGTTCCCCTGCGGCAGGACAATAGTCTTCTCCAGGCTGCTCATTACAATCCTCCACAGCTCCTTGAGCACACGTTTCAGTACAGTCTTCTCACAGACGGTGGCAAACAGTGTCAGCCTGCAAAAAACATGCAAACACACACAAATACAGACACACAAGTTGATGAGAGCGTGTTAACCCTAATTGGGTAAGTAGGGTTGAATATTGTTCTAAAAACTAAATTATTTCTGCTAGATCATAATCGGGACAGAGATTTAGGATACAAAAGAAGAAAAAGATAACAACAAACGAATAAATATACAGGGCGGCGGTAAATAAATAGACGGAGAGGATTGCACCTGTCAAAGTGGCTAAAAACATGGTAATATTATCAAACAGTCTCAAATCTTAGTTAATCCACTCACCTGCCATCCAGGAAATCCATGAGTGGCCGTAGCATGTTGTCAGAGTCGGCGTCCACCTGGTTTTTGTTGTTGGCGTTGAGCGGCCCTTTGATCTGGTACAGCAGAGACGCCATCTGTCGCATGCATTCATTGATACGGCTCTGGAAACTGGAAAGAGAGGAGAAAAAAAAGATCTATCAACACAAATGCCTGTGATGTTACTGATTTAACTGTAAATGTATGCAAGCGTGTGTGGTTGTGTGTCTGTTTAGGGGTGAGGATTAGGCTACCTGTTCCCGAATGTGCTGCTGAGCTCATCCAGCACGTTGTTTAGCTTCACCTGCAGGTCGTTCAGTAAGTCACTGGCCTCTGTGTCCATCTGCAAAGAGGCAAGCAGACAGAATCCAGTTAGTGAGAATTTGATTGAGGGCCATTTATTGCAAATTTTTAAATAAAGCTCAACATTTTGAAAAAAATCCCAAAGCTTTTATGAAGTTGCAAAAGAAAATAGAGAGAGGAGGTATGTGCCAGCTCCTCTGAACACGGAGGACTAACCTAACAGCAGCTTTTGTCCAAAATACCCCAAATTACCTTTGGACTTAACCTAAAGCTGCACTTTAACAGCAACCCTAGAAGCTACACATGGTAGCAAGAACTTAAGATTTGAAAGAGAACTTTAATAACCAGCAGTGTGTTACATCATGTTATGATGAAAAAAAGCACACTGGCGACAGTCGATCTGTCTCGCTTCATAACAAGGGAAGCAAATTAAAGGTAGGAGAGGGTGTCCTGTATTGTTTGTATTCTGTACTCCTGTAGCTAAGAAATGTCCATCACAAGCACCATGATTGTAGTTGGTAGAAAAAAAATGAATAAAATTGAACACATACAGCTGAGTAAACCCACCTTTTTACCAGCAGTCTCCAACTTTCAAAGGGAGAGCATTGAAAAAAAGTTTAAAGTTTAATGCCGCAGGAGATGTATGTCTTACAAGTAGTGAGTCTCACAAGCACAGGGTGAGGGAATAAGTAGGAAAGTGAAAGAGCCATGAATTAACTCCAGTATACCTAACACAGGTATACCTTGGCATCATCTAAATAAGCACAGCCTGCAGGGGAGCTAAGCCATACCGATGAAGCCATGGTGTGGCTCATTAAGTCAATGATCCATTGGCCTTTTGATGCATGGTCTGTCAGGGCCGCATAGCACCATTAGTGAGAAAAGACTGAAACATTTCTGCTACACAGCACAAGGGAAGGCTTCGGGGGACAAAAAGGCAGCTAGAAATGGATGGTGTTCTGCTTGTAATGTGCTGTATGCTTTTTGTTTTGCCTGAGAGTGTTTTTGTACGCATGGGGATATTAATATGCATGAGTCGGTAAACCTACACTCACCTTCTTGTCTTCAAATGCACTTTCAGGCTACGACAGCACAGACAGGTGGAGGGTAAAAGAGGACAACCTCAATTAACTCAATAAAGTAATTTACCATTTGGAATTTGATGTTCATTTATATCATGTGGGAAACTAAAGAGGATTGATGGTCACCATGTAAAGTGCTGTGGCAGCAGATAAACCCCAGGTATGCACGTAACCTACCTTTTCTACCGGAGCATCCATCTAATGTGGTAGGATTTTTTATTTTTTTTTGAAAACAGAAATAAAAATGAAAAACCGTCAAAACAAAATCCTGTTCTGTTGTGACAACACTGAAGGAACTATGTGATCAAATGACTAGGTAACAAATAAAGACTAGAGGATCTCCAACATTAGGTTTTACTAAGAGCCACTTGAAATCAAAATTTCATGAACACCACAAATACTGCAGGTTTTATCACACTGGATAGCATATGCTCTGTTTATAACACTGGCACCCACCTTCTCTGTGTCAGTCTATTGCAGACCAAAAAAAAAAGAGTTACAAAGAAAACATATATTAAAGAAAAGATACAATAAAAAGTTTCATATTTCAGGGGAAATGAGTGAGCAGTTTAGAGGAAAAGTCAGGGAAAATGCCACTGTTAGAAGGTGAAAACTCGAGGTGGAAATCACCACAGATGACGGTAAAAACTGCACACAATAAACTGCACCATGATAACCACAGGGACGTCTTGTTTTAGTAGGACTGAGAATCACTGTGATATTGCTGGGAGTAGGAAGAACGATGGACGAGAATGAGAGGTTAAAACCACTTCAGACTGTAACAAACCTCAACCTCAATTTCCTCCCCTGCTTCCCCTACTTCCTCCTCCTCCTCCTTCTCCTCCTCCTTCTCCTCCTCCTCATCACTCTCCTCAAACTAGGAGGGGCAGTGAAAAGACAACACAGAATAATGAAGTTTCAGTCTCATTGCTGCAAACACCATAAGGATGCTCTTTCAAGCTAATTTCGGCGCCTCTACTCGAAAAAAATATTACAAGTGATGCAATATTTCCACAAGTAGTGACATGAACATGTGAGTATATGCAGTCATGAATCACAAAACATGCCTGCATATACAGTGAACTTGCCTGCCATGCTAGCATTCTATTGTTGTGCTAGGAAAGAGAGGAAAAATATTGTCACTTCACTCTTCTAAAAAATCTTCTTTTGTTAATATATCATATAATTGTATTGTTTTATTTATTTATCTGTTCCATGTTTTAAATAATTCTGCCATATTTAATCTTGGTACAGCAAGAGAGCTACATCAAGTGAAAGCTAACTGGTGAGCTAGCCATGGCTATCCTTAGCTACAGCTGAAACTAAATTTACAGTTAGATTCTTCCCTAGCTGTTATATGTAAAATAATAATATCTATTTTGATGGAATACTGACATTGCTGCAATTCAGTTTGTTATTCCGCATTACTAAATGAGGGTAGCTAAATCTAAAAAATGAAAGAAAAACCCCCCCAACTCCTGCAAAGGGTAATTAATTAGCATATCTCAGTAGCTGCCACCAGCAAGTTAGACAGTACTGTAATACGATCCCCAATCACTATTCTACCTTTCTACCTTTTCTTTCTCGTGATTTCCCTCCATGTTAACAAGCCACTCACTTCGAGACACAAACTCTAGTGATCTCTCACGTGTAACATCTTTTCACCTCCACTACATTATGACATGATGCGATAATCATTGGACAGGCAACATTAGAAGAAAACTTTCCTTAATGTGACTTTTCCAAACCACTAACTTAAGATAAAGCTTCAAATCAACCAGGTTCAGGAATACTAACACTGAAAGAAACACCAACCAATTATTATTACATGTACCATTAGCCATGAAAAGACCTTTTCCACCTGTGTATCCTATTATGTAAGGATAGTACCACAATTTTGTACATTTTGGTTCTCAGACAATGATTCTTTAATAACTTGGTAAACCTGACTTTTCCTCTAGCACTACCATGAGCTTCTATGTAAAGATTTTTTAGTTTAGTCCTAATACAGTGCTGCAACTACACCAGTCGCATGAATTCAACATCACCACCACTAAACGTTCAACTTGTAATTAAATGTGTAATTAAACTCTACAAGTTGGAAAGTTTGAGTTAGAACAGTTCGTAAGAGTGCAAGTGTAAACACAACAAGGCTGTAAAGACAGACTAGTGAGAAGATAAGTCTTTTTGTTCAATGTGACTTTGAGACAAGGGCAAAAATGCAAACTCATTTCCCGGGTTATATCTTTTTTTTTTTCTATTAGCAAAAGCTACTAGACTAGAACAGTTAAGCTACTGTCAATGCTAAAGAGGCGTTGGCTATGTAAGATTGGGAATCTATTGGTCTCTAGACTTAAGTTCAAACTACTACTTAAGAACCTAATGCGCTACCATCCACAGTACCCACCACAGCCTTTGCTTCCTCTTTCTCAGTCACAGCCTGCTGTCCAAGCCAGGCAAAAAGGGGCGGAAACAAATCAATACAGGGGTGTACTGCACACCAATAAACTAATTAAACAACTTAAAGATGTACTTTCGTATGGATAAATGCCTGTTTAAGCCCTGCTCAGACTATGATGGAAACCTACCTCCTCCTCTCCTGCCTCCTCCTCTTCCTCTTCCACCATTTCTGCATCTTGCTTTAATTTTAAGTGAAGACAGTGGTTGAAACTTTAACTACAGTGTCCAACAGCTACAACCATACAACCAACCTAGCACTACAACAATATATACTGTGCTACAGCTACATTAAAAAAGCATGGTAGGGATTCAAAGCAGAGGGAGGTCAAAGCTGAAAAAAGAAGCTATTGATTGTCCTTACTGTAGCTATACTAAGGACACTAATACAGAGGACATGATTTAATTAAGTCACTGCCTCAATACGTCCTAGCCTATTAGGCAGTGCAGGGTTTAATCTCTGTCAGTGTTGATCTATGGTATGGCATCACATCAGACACCAGGAGGGCATATAGACCTTTCTAACAATCTGAATGCAACATAAAATAGCATTCACAGCACGAACAACTTCCACTAGGGCCTTGTCTAATCCTTCATAGGCTCTGAACTACCACTACTGTACATACCCGCGCTTCTTCTGTTGCAATCTGATATGCGAGAGACACAGATCTGTTGTACAAGTAATCGCTTCTAAAATATCATATGTTTAATCTATTAGTCATTTTATCTCCTTTTTTTTTTTAGCTATTAAGGCATCAGCATCATGCTGGATATTTTCCTCCATCCAGAAGACCCCATAGCAAATTCATCCACACCTTTGTCATTAGACTTACCTGTTTGGCACCCATTGACTCAAACATCTTCTCCAGCTGGATTCTTAACTGCTGCACATTATTCAACAGGACACATGGCTGCAAGAGGACAGAGAGATTACACACATGCAGCAACTATTCAGTATCTGAAAGTGATTGCAATGACTGCTGTGTAAATTATCTTTTAAACAAAGAATACATACCGTATATTAGTTTTTATTTAGGTAATTATTCAACTTTGGAAACACAAGTGTAAGTCAAAAAGAAGTTCTAAGACATAGACGATAGACAGCAGGAGACGTGAATTAATAAGGGTCACAAAATGATGAAATGCTATAAAGGTGACAACTTACAATCTTCTCTTTGTCGATATAAGAAGGAAAACTCTTGGTCAGAATGGCGCTGTACTGCAGGAGAACTTTGGCAATAGTCTGAAGATGAAGAGGAAGAAATACATTAAAACTGTGGCAGCAACAACATTTTATTTGAAACAATTTAACAGTTTTATATCCAATTACTTTTACAATGTTGACAGAGGGCATTCTATTGGACTTCGGGTAATATGTCCCAAAGATCATCTCTCTACAGCATTATAAACATTCCCAGATGTCCCTTAATGTATTCTCCGGCATGCAGGAAAGAAAACCTGGAACCACAAAACTGTGCTGTCCCTCCATCCCCCCAGGAGGAGAGTATAATGCCCAATTCAACATTTATTTTAATGAGGAAATCTCAAATTCCCTTTACAAAAAATGTGAATTTGGTGGTGTAGCTGTTCTGCAATTTCCCTCATATATTTTAATCATTCTAAGAAAAGAAAATAGTCACAATCATGAGCTGGTTTTGGATGAAAAAGCCAACATGATCACTGACAATCAATTCATTATTAGTTTTGATAATTTAGACCCAAAACCACATGTTTAATGTAGCTCCAGCAACTAAAAAGATCAAATCAATATGGTGTACTTGAGAGCAGCTGTTAGGCGTCACCATCCAGTGAAGTGGGTTTACCTTGGAGAAGCGGCGGCTGTACTGAGCCATGACGTTAGGGTCGGGACATTCCAGTTTCCTGATGATCTCAAAGCTCTGGTTGAGCTGGGTGAAGATATCCACCACGGAGCAGGAGAACAGAGCATGCTCAGACGTCTGCTGGAACTGAGACGGTGTAGAGTGCACAAGGGAAAAAACACAGACAAATACATAAATAATAGTTAAATATCTACATGTTAGCCGGTAGCCCATATGCTGATGCTGTGTATGTGTCTTTAAACATGGACTTCGGTCTTTTCCATTTTACCATTATTATGAAAACATAATCATGGCAGAGGTAACAACATATCAAAGGTTTATTTTAATTTTCTTACTCCGTCTTTTTTGTCTCTCTCTAGGGCTCCATGCATAAACTCCATAGATACATCCTCATTTTCTTCCAACCACTGTAGCACAAATTGTAGGAACCATCTACAAGGAAAAATAAAAACAGAGTTAATATATATATTTTTAAATAACTTTAATTGCTGAGTATTACTGCTGTTGTATCCTTTACCAATAACTATGTTAGGAAGAAAATAAGTCAAAAGCACTTACGATGGGTAGTCAGGAACAACACCCTTAACGTTTGGCAGCTCCTTGACATATTCATTGTAGAGCCACTTGACCTTAAAGTGCAGGTTCATATAGTCTGTGCTCTTACACAGTCTGTGCTTCTCGTGTTCTGCACATACAAAGACATGAAGAAGAGCCTGTGAGCATTGCAGTGAGTTTGTGCCAGAGACTGGGGTAAATACCATCAAGTTGCATTGTGGGAAGGGTAGAATAAAGTGTATTTGGGCTGTATTCAAAACTGTGTACTACATACTACTGATGAAAGCAGAATACTACAATAACTAATCATAAATAATTAAGAATAATTACATAGAAAACAGAAATCTTCTCCCTGAAGGTCGTATTGGGGTATCAGTATTAAACTGAGACTGTTTCATAACCAGTTACAAACTCGTTGTAGTACGTTTAGCGTCAGGATATCCCGACCTCTGCTGCTTCATTTTTTACCTTCATTTTAAAATGTTATCCTTTACACCTTTATTTTTAATCTGACCCAGACATGGCATAATCCTAATTTTAGGATTACAGGATAGGGTCAGATAATTTAAAGTATTAAAACATTTACTTTACTGACCGCAAACAGAATTAATTCCAAAGTTAGCAGAAGCAAATGTGAGGAGTAAGGGATCAATTCATGGCCAGGGTGGACAGGAGGAACCATTAAAGCAACCAACAGTGATTTTAATTTATATCCAACAGGATTATTGTTCCAAGACAGACTTGAAATAATGTGTACCTATATTTTAACCCTAAAACAAAGTCATCTCTAAATTTACCAAAAGCTGTAAAGTCAAAGCATAATTGAAAAATATCCCCATAAAAATAGCAGTATTAAAAATATTTTCTCTGGACAAAATGTCCTCTGATGGTTTTATATTCAAACAAAGACTGTATGTCATGTATACGCTCGTAATGATAATTTTGCATAAGCAATAATAATGAGAAGTTCTTGAGTACCAGGCACTTAAGTATCTTTTTCGTGACCCACTAAAAACTACTACTACTCTTAAATTTGAACAACTCCTTGGTAGTGCTCCTGGAGCAAAATCTCTCAGGACTCATCTCTGAACACATTTTCCTTCACTTTTTATATTAACGCATGATTGAAAATGAAAGGGCCATCACTTCTGTGCTGTAGTATGTGAAACAGATATTTCACAGTGATAGTCTCTGTAGGGGATTCATCTTGAGGACAGGGGCTGGGATAAGAGCTGACTGCCTCTGGGGACTAGTGCTTCTGTACAGTACAGTAGAGCACAGAAAAATCACAGAGAGGCTCCTAGGAGACATAAGCAGCTTTCAAACCCTGCAGTTATTACTGCAGTTATTATTTCGCTCTTTCACTTCTTCCATGCCACGTTTCCATTTTTGCCCCAGAACTTCTCATTTCTTCTTGCCATTTCCAGTTTCAGTATAATAAATACGTATCTGGTAAGTGTAGGATACTGCACACACATATATGCTAATACTATCGTATATTATTTAGTGAGCCAGGAGTGTGAAGCAAAAGACACATTACAATACCTACAGTATTCACAGTACATTAAGACAATGTTTTGTATTAGATTTGGAGCTGGTGGTTTTCGCCAGCGTAAAATGTCTGTCTTGGAAATTATGGTATTAAGAGTTCTAATAAGTGAAAACATAAGCAAAACATCAAAAAGCCTAACAATTCATCATGCAGAACTAATGATACTGTACACTTCTGTGTGTCACTGATAGACAGCAAGCGACTATGAGTGGGATAAAGGATATATGACAATGAGTGTGACTTGCCTTCCATAGCATACTTCATGTCTTGAGCAAACAATGTCCACATGACCTCCGCCGACACCTTCCCTACATTCAGTTCTTGAGGGAATCTGAGAGAGAGGCAACAATATGACAAACTTGTGACTTAAATCCGACAGATTTCTGAGACCAAACAAACTAAAACGTCATATCCCTGGATATCATGATTTGAGCATTTATATTAAGTGTATATTTGGAGCTAACTAATCTCCTCCTACTCTCAATATGATCAACATTTATTTACTAACTGGTTAAGCACAGGTGTGTAGGCATTCCTGTCCTCTTCAATGATGGAGACAATGAGCATGATGAGTTTAGGCCAGAAGTCCAAGTTCTTGATGCTCGGACCCTGCTCCTCCAGTGGGAGATCGTCCTTGTTCTAGATTAGAAGACAACACACAGTCACTAAAAAGAGACTTGACAGAGGTTAAACACAATCAATATAATGGATTTTATTTCTGCTTTTGTAAACATACAGTCACTGCAATGCCTTGCAGTCAGGCTTAAGACAATGACTCACTGTGTCAACAGGTTGGTACTGCCTGCTATACAGCTCGTGGCAATTATTGAAGATGTAATCATATGTGGAGTTGAGGCAGGCCTTGACACAGTCCTTCACCACCTGGCTGGCTCTAGGCGGAGACTGTAGCTCCTGGACCTGAATAGCAGATGGAGATAGAATCACTGGCTGTCAATGACTGCAAGCAATATTTTAGAGTACCTGACTACAGCGTTTTCCTGCAATGAATGAATTCAAACGTCGAATTCTTTCCCATTTAAAAGCAATTTATTTGCTAAGATCTCATAGGGAGAAACTACAGTAATAAGGGGACAATACATAAAATGTTTCTAGCTACCTTCATTCTGAAGAAGGTGATGCTGGTAAGAAGGTCCACGGTGGATTTCAAATCCTGCAGGCGTTCCTTGCTACTGGCAGGAAAGTGGTTCTACAGACAAGAAAAACAAGTTTCATTTAATAAATTCAACATAATCAAAGACCATTATGGACGTATAGTATATATTAATAAGGCCAGTGTAGAGAAATTATGCTCTTCACTCCTGTTCAAGACTGGAAATCAGATTCCCGCCACAGTTTGTACTTGCAGACAGACATTAAGTAAATATGTAACATGTCACAAAAAATAGATTAAAACCTTAGACATGACTTTTGATGTCATAGGCAACAGTATAACTTTTGAGAGCAATATCAGTCATTAACGGCAGTGCTATTTATTTAGTACAATTAAAATTTACCCTGTAGGTTGAGAGGTCAATGCGCAAGGAGTTGTGTAACTGGTCTAAAAGCTTGACAAAGCGTTCTTTCTGTAAATAAAAGAAAAAAAGAGATTATATGAGTATTAAGTGGATGTGTACACAAAAATAAGCAGAAAGACAAGCTACATACACATGTGTATGGACAACTAGTAGAGAAAGGAAGAGGGAGGCAAAAACAGAGACAAGACATATTTATTGCCTGTATATGTGTGTGTGT